CCTCCAGGCTGTTTCAGGGTAGGATTCCCAGCCCCCTGCAGCTTGGGCTGGCCTTAGCCAGGAAGGAAGGTAGCCAGGCAACATGCCCCCTGGACATGTGAGTTCAGGTGGGGCTCTCCCCTGCAGCCTGCATCTTGTCACAGGTGCAAGCCCCCTGTGGATTTAGGGAGCCTCCCTCAGCTCACTCCTCCCCCCCTCACACCCCCCCCTGGAGGAAGAGGAGGCAAGGGCCCCGCCCAGACTCCCAGGCTCCAGGGTGGGGCAGAGAGGAAGGGGTAAGGGGCTGAGCTGCTGCAGGCAGGGCTGCTTCTCTCTCTGTCCCTCTGCCTCACCCCCAGCCATGGGGACCTTCAACTTGTGGACAGACTACCTGGGCTTGGCAAGCCTGGTGGGGGCTCTGCGTGAGGAAGAGGAGGAGCCCAAGACCAGGCTGAACCCCCAGCCAGAGCCGGTGCCAGATCCAGTGGATCCGAGACCCAGCCCGGAACCCTCGCTGACTCCTGAACGCCTGTGTTCCTTCTGCAAGCACAACGGCGAGTCCCGGGCCATCTACCAGTCCCACATGCTCAAGGACGAGGCTGGCCGCGTGCTGTGCCCCATCCTGCGAGATTATGTGTGCCCGCAGTGTGGTGCCACCCGGGAGCGTGCCCACACCCGCCGCTTCTGCCCGCTCACTAGCCAGGGCTACACCTCTGTCTACAGCTACACCACCCGCAACTCTGCTGGCAAGAAGCTCACCCGGCCGGACAAGCCGAAGACGCAGGACGCAGGGCATCGCCGAGGAGGTGGCTCAGGTGGCTGGGGCCGGGGGTGCCATCGGGGGGCCTGGAGCTGGGCATTCTTGGGCATGGGATTCTACTCCTCTGGGTCTTTGTGATTGAGATTGACCCCGGGCCCAACACTGGAGGGTGGCACAGGAGGTGAGGCAGAAGGATCCGCATAGAGAATTTAGAATAGCATTCTAGAAGTGGTTCTAGAAGTGTATTCTGTGTGGAAAAGTTGGGGCCACATTTGCTGTGTGTCCTTTGACTAATCACGCTCCCTCTCTGGGCTAATGCAGTAAAATGCTACCCTTTTCCAGCGTTGGGGGACCTGACTTCTGCCAGTTCAGTCAGGCCCAGGGAAGCTCTGAACCATTCCTTAGATTCACACATTTGCTACACAGTTTGTATGTCTGTCTTGTGTGGGGCGCTGGGCCCAGCTAGCAGTGAAGAGGCAGAGGAGAGGGCTGCTGTTACCATGCGGGGTGATAGGTGCTGGGTGGGGAGCCCAGGGCAGGGATCTCTGGAGAAGGTGCCTCCTGGATGCCTCATGTGGTCAACTGGTGGACAGGGAAGTGGGGATGAGTGTGCATGCTTCCAGTGGGACAGCAGAGCCTATTTGGACATTCAGTGAAATTCAGCATGCTAGTGTGTCTAGGCGAGTGTGTGTACGTCCGTGTGTGTGTGTGTGTGTGTGTGTGTGTGGTGTGTCAGAGATTTTAGGGGTAACCAAGTGGTGTAAAGGGCCTTACAGTCCCCTTAAATAGGGTAGACTTGGACACTGGGAAGCCATGGGAAAGGAGAGGCCAGAGATCTGATACATGTGTCAGCAGAAGACTAGAAGCTGCTGGACAGACAGACAGTAGAACCCCAAGGGGAGGGCTGGAAAGGTCAGAGTCTCCTAGGTGGAGGGAGGAGGGCATGTGTGTGTGTCTGTGTGTGTGGGGCTAGAAAGGTGGTCAGAATCTCATTGGTGGAGGGGTGTGTGTGGGGGGGGGGCGGGAAGAAGGTCAGAATCTCCTAGGTTGAGGCTGTGTGTGTGTGTGAATAGGGCTGGAAGGGTGGTCAAAATCTCCTAGGTGGAGGCTGTGTGTGTGTGTGTGTGTGTGTGTGTGTGTAAACACATACTGAGCTACCCCTAGGCTTTTTCCAGACTCATCTGGGATTTTTTAAAAGAGGACCCTTAACTTTTAACGCATTGCGGTGGTTGGAACTGACTCCTGACTGAGTCCAGCAGGTTTTTAGATGCTATACATCGGCATGGGAGTGAGCTCTTGGTTCAGTGGCAGGAGCTACACTGCCAGTCCCAAAAGCATGTGGTCTGAATCTACCAGCTGCTCTGCAGTCTCCTCCTGTGTGATTTAATGCCTTTGAACGCCAGCTGGAGGGTCAGCTCTGCGTTAGTTCTGACTGGATGGTATGCAACAACAAATCACATGACATCAGAGGAGACTTCCTTACCTTTCTTCCAAGGAGCTGCTAGTGGATTTGAACCACCAGAGAGGCACTGCCTTGGGCTAGTAGGGCACTTCCCCAAGCTCTACATGACCAGAGCTTCTTTAAATTCACTTTAGCAGCTTTAATTTCCGTAGGGGCTGGTTAGGCCCTGTTAGGCCCTTTCCCCTCCCAAAGTTGTGCCTTGTGTTGTGACATGAATGAGACGCTGTCTAAGAGCTGTTATTTCTCCTTGTGAGGTTTGATGAAAGGAGCCCTGGTAGTGTGGTAGGTTAGGCATTGGGCTGATAACTGAAAGGTCAGAGGTTCAAATCCAGTTGATCATCAGAAGGAAGCTGTGGGAGGCACCCTGCTTTCCCGTGGTGTCCTATGGGACAGTGCTACTCCAGCCTGTAGGGGTTACCCTTAGTAGGAATCACTGCCCAGAGAGTGAGAGGTTTGATGAGGTCTGGAAGCAGAGGGATCCTAGGATGATGGTCTCAGAATGCCCCTTTTCCCCTAAATGCCAACTTTTTTCGAGGGACCTGGGTAAGGTAGGGTGGGCTAGGGGAGTCTTTCCCTTCTGTTGACCTGGACAGATGGCCTGCAGCCTTTGTGGTCACTTAATCTGTGAGCCTCTGGCTTTGGGTCCCAGGAGGAGGTCCTGCTCCAGGCACCCCTGGGCTTGCTATTCCACGAGCAGTCCCCAGGTGGCGTCAGAGCCCAGGCAGTGCTGAGGTCTTCCCACCTTCTCAGGGCGTGTTAAATCATCTTTTTCTCTTTTGCTTTTCTCTCCTCCCTTTTAAAATCCAGGTTCCAAAGGTGCCAGGAAATCTTCAGGACCCTCGCCTTCTTCCTACAGTCCCTCCACTTCCGCCTAGGAGGCCGGCACAAGGAGGACCCCGGAGCCCTGCTTTCATCAGGGGATGGGGGACCCAGGCTGGATTGGAGGGAAGGTCTGGGTTGAGGCCACAGGGGCTTTTGGGGAGCAAAGTCTGACAGTGTAGTTGAAACAGCTCCTGTGGGGAAGGGTACCTTCCTACCCACCCACCCAACTGCCAGCCCTGGCTTGTTCTGTTCACACACGTGGAGTTTGTGTTCAATAAACGCCTTATCAACAGAGCAGTGTTACAAAGGCCTTCTTGGGACTGGGGATCTGGGGTTTGGGCTGGGGGAACCTGGAGGACCTCTTTGCTGTCCTGGTGGCACTATGTGCTGCCCAGACCTGTACTTTTTACCTGCTGTCTGGATTTTGTCAGCTGGATCTGTACCCATAAGCTGTGCCTGCGATTCGGCAGGGGGAGGGGGCCCTGGAGGCAGTCGTGGGGTCCTGGGAAGTGGTTCAGCTAGGGTTCTGAGAACATCCTCAGTTACCATGAAATTAGCTTTGGGGGCTGTTTGTGTTTTGTGACCCCATATGTCCTCTAACACCCAGAAACGGATGGAATCCCACAGCAGAGGTAAGAGTGCTGGTGTGGGTGAGACGCAGTGTAGCTGGACTCGGAGCTGTCCCTCTCACAGAGAATGCTGGTCATGGGGGGTCCCAGGGACAACGCAGACAGGCCTCGGGCAGCTCAGAGCAAGGACAGGACACACTGGGAGTAGGGAACGTCCCCGGGGCTTTGGACTGTCAGGTGGGAGAGGGCGCTGTGGCAGTGGCTTGGGGGTCTGCTTAGGCAGAGGGGAGGGGGCACATCTGTCCAGTTCTCTGTTAGGTGAAGTGCTGTGCCTCTCGACACACCTCCTGCCAAGTTGACGGGAGCCGTGGTGGGCAGCTGGCCGGCTGTGGTCTCTCCATTTCCCTCTCCAGTCCACATCTGGCGCTGGAGCCTGGCTCCACCCACTGTCTCATCTCCCTGGAGATCTATGGTTGGCAGGTCCCCCCTGCTCTTAGCTTTTCCTGTTCAGTAGGACTGGGTGAGTTGGAGTGGGAGTGGGTGCCCAGCCTGCAGCTTAGGCATGAAACAGAGAGAGGGCAGGGCAGACAGCAGCCCCAGGTTCTCTGAGTCCTGGAGGAGAAATGGAGCAGGAGGTCCTGGCCACACCCTTCTTTGGGGGGCTATGGGAAGGCTTCTGGATGGGTGTGGAGTGCCCCTCAGGAACAGACAGGAGCTGCCTGCCAGGATGGATTCCTTCCAGCTCACGGTGAGGCCAGTTTGTATAGGGAGACCACCAGTTACCACATCTCTTGCCCCACGGGTGTGAGTGTCCCCGAGTACTCGCACGTGCACACACACACGCCACCCGAGCCCCCAGGCCTGTGTCCAGGAAGGCTGGGGAAGTACATCACGAGGAGGGGGGCTGTTTGTCCACCCCCACAACACAGAAGAGAAAGATGAGGCGTTCGGGTCGCAGGCAGAACATAAAGAACCAAACAGTACTCTTGGAACTTGTTATGAGAATCATTTATTAATGGTCATCCTGGACTGGGGCGAAAGCAAATTTGGAGAAAGGCAAAGATAATGCCAACAAAGGGAGCCTTTACCCTGCAGTAAAGCAACAAATTCTGAATTGCTATCACCTCAGCAAAGGAGGTGCAATCTGCAAACCAACATGAACCTTACAGGCTACTGCGAGGCGCCTGCAGGTGGCACAGGTGTCCCTTTCCTCAGGACATCTGTGACCTCTGTCTGGGAAAGTGGGGGAGGGGGAACTTAGAACACTGAAAGGAACCGGAACACGGAGCCCTCCCCCAGGCAGCTGCAGACTGTTTCCAGCTGTTCAGCAGAACTCAGGGAACTTGTCTGGCCTGGCCTGTATCCACAGAGGAAGCACGCTGTCCAGGCTGGCTGGCAGGAAGCAGCCCTACCCGTCCCTCCAGGGCTCCCCTCGCGGGAGGGTCCCTGCCCCCTTGGAGGCATAGGGTGCAGGCCCCTTTCCTGTGGGCTTCCCCTTCCGGTTGCCAAGACGCCGGAGGGCTTCCAGGTCCCGGTGGGCACTCATGATCAGCCGGCTGTGGAGAAGGGGGCGCAGGGGCCAGGCTGTGGGAGAGGAGCCCACACGCTCGTCCTCACACCCACAAGCCTGCTCTCGCTCGCTCTCTCTGACACACACACACACACACACACACACACACACACACACACACACGGTACATTCCTGCACGTCACACTCACGCGCACACACGTGCACAGATGCACACACCCTTGTAAACGTACACGATGCAAAAGCACACGCTTTCTCACTGCACACTTGCTCTTCCACACTCATGTGCACCCCCAGATGACACCGTGGGCTGACTGCCCTCACCACTCAGGAACTTGATACTTGGCGACATGTCAGCGCAAAGGAATGGGGACCGGAGCACGAGGACGCAGTTCAGAGGCCCCTCCCTGCCCTGGCAGTCTGTGCCTCTGGGTGCTCCTGGGTCTCCCTCCCTTGGGACTGTCCCCAGGTCCCCAACCCACCCCCCAGATGGGGGAGACCGCCCCTCACTTGAGATTGGAGAGCTCCATGACGAGGCCACACACAGTGCCTGTTGCGTCCTCCAGCTCAGGAGTCTCGAAGGCCTGGATCTGTGACTTGGGGTTCCTGTGGGTGGAGCGGAGGACAGGCTTGACCTGGAGTAGGGCTGCCTGCCGGAACGCAATGCCGTTTTGAAGAGCCTTTCTGGGGCCTTGAGGCAGGCTCGTTCTCCCACATACTCACGCTGCCGTTCTCTGCTGGGGCAGCTCCCTGGTCGCACATGGCTGACACTATTGTAGCTCCTTGACCTCGCAATCCACGGCTGCCCCCCTCGACCCAGTCACCTTCCTGGTCTCTGCCCCCAGCCCCGCACGGCCTGGGCCTGGGAGTGGTGTTACCATCTCAACACGCCAGTGGCCACTGAGTGAATTCTGACTCCTGGTGACCCCTGTGCTCCAGAGTAGAACTGGACTCCCCAAGGTTTCAAAGCAGCCCCACAGGCCTTTCTTCTGAAGCACCCTGGGTTCACTCAAAAGCTGCTGTGCAGTCGATCAGCGCTTCACCACTGGTCTCGACACAGGGCACAGGGCACAGCTCTACTTGAAGCCTGCTGCTTTAGCCACAGAAATGCCAGTTCTCTTCCATGTCTCATCTCCCCAGGTGCTTGGCTGCCCCAGGCCATGTCTTACCCTGCCTTGATTCAGCAACCTGGCTCCAGAACTCTCTCAGGGCTCCAGCCACCATCCGTGCTGGGGGCACCACACAGGGAGGAAGCAGACTCGGACACAGATCTGCAGGCTCCCTGCCCTCTGCAATGAGGGTGCACTCTGGCTTCCGGCCTCAGGTCCCCCCGTGTCAGTGGTGGGTAGTGTGTGTGTGTGTGTGTGTGTGTGTGTGTGTGTGTGTGTGTGTAGCAGGGAGCATGGGCACCACAGATACTAGCTGCCAACCTGTGAACGAGCAGGAAATATAAGGCACCACTGCCCCACATCTCCAGGAGCAAGAGAAGGGACAGAGAGTGAAGCCATGGGTTGTGGACCTGGGCTCCCTGACAGATCTTGGCCTTGAATAACAGATGAGCCACAGGCCCTGAAGAGAGGGAAGTTCAAGTACAAGGTGAAAGGAGAGGGTGGCAGAGGGCTGAGAGCCATGCACTGGGGGAAGGATGCTCTGAGGAAGGGGTGCACTGAAGACCCTTTATATCCTGCAGCTTGCAGGAGCAGGAGGTGATTGGCCCCGGCACAAGCCAAGTGGGGGTAGTGACCAGGGCTGGGAGTTGCTGGGGTGGTCCAGCCAATGGCTTAGCCCCACCTTAATCCCCTTGCCCTCAGGGAAAAGTTCTAGACTATCTTCCCAGCAAACCACCCATATGTACATACAAATGCAAAAAAGCAAGTACTATCCCAGGGGGTACCATCCCAGGGGGAACTATCCCAGGGGGTACCATCCCAGGGGGAACTATCCCAGGGGGTACCATCCCAGGGGGTACCATCCCAGGGGGGTACCATCCCAGGGGGGTACCATCCCAGGGGGAACCATCCCAGGGGGAACCATCCCAGGGGGTACCATCCCAGGGGGAACCATCCTGGGGGGTACCATCCCAGGGGGTGCCATCCTGGGGATACGATCCCAGGGGTCCCAGGAGGGAGAAGTTGGCTGGGTGAGGATGGCTGGATGCTAGTCCTGTGCTGGGAGCAGGGAATACCCTGTTTGGAAAATGGGCTCAGTTCTTAGTTGGTTTGGGAAGCTGAGGCGTATTGAGGAGGACCTCAGGCCAGCGCTGCATCATGGTCGGTAGAATGGAGCCCACGGGGTAGGTGTGAGAAGGCGCCAATGGGGTCTGAAGAGTCAGGAGGGTGGTGACCCCAGGATGAGAGGTGGCCTTGTGCTACGCCTACCTGGGCTGGCCTGAGGTGACGGAGGCTCCACTGGCAGGTGGGCTGGTGCCAGGACAGCAGAGTCTCCGTATGCTACCCAGAGGAGATGAGTCTTTTACCTAGAAAGAGAACACAGGTGAGGTCTGGATGAAGCGGGAGAAGGGTCCCCGGCTCAGGGTGCCGAGACCAGGGTTTCCGGCAGAGGAAAGCCTTTGTGAAAGAGCTGCTTGCTGTTCCTCTGTGCCTGTCACCTGTCTTGATCCCTCTATTTGCTGGCTTGTCACCCTGTCCCATAGTCCTGCCCCCTCAGCAGGCTCCTCTGTGGGTCCTACTGGTCCCAATGACACAGTCACTACTGGGGTGATCAAGCAAGCCACTGCTTCCAGTCTCTGGATAGGGTAGCGGGGCCCACACAGGGCATCTGGCAGCAGTGTTCCAGAAACATCACAGTCAAAAGGAAGACGTTATTAACCTTGGCCAGACAGGAAGCGCATGTATTATCAGGAAAAGATTTTGCAAATATATTGCAACAGAAAAAAATTGCATAATTAATAGAGAAGAAAACTGATAAACCCTGAAAAGTTTAAGTTTCTAAATGTCAACTGAGGTTTTAATTTCCTGGAAAATGTCAAGCTCGCTCACAGAGAGGACACAAGTCCCTCTAAGAAATTGAGGCGGAGGCGGTCGGGTAGTGGGGGCATCAGTTGCTTCTGGAAAGGACAAAGCCTGGGGCGGGGGCTTGCTAAAAGGATGTCTTTCTTAACTGGAAAGACGGGGTGAAAGACTTGAGTCACTAGTGCAAAGGAGCCCTGGATCCCTAAACCACCAAGAACTGCCTGGGGAGCAACACTACTCACACGAACAAGACGAACAAACAGCCCCAATATCTGTCCACAGAAAGCTGACACGTGACCTGGTCACATGATGGGATGGTTCTCAGACATAAAAAAGTAAGGATGCACCAATTCACACTCCATCGTGACTGAGGCCTGAAAACACTGAAGGCCACACGCTATATAGTTTCCACCATGGGAAACCCTCCAGAATGGACAGAAAATAGACTGCTGGCTGCCAGGGACTGAGGAAGAGAAGGGGAGCTACTACCAGGCAAGGATTGTCTTCAAGTGATAAATATCCAGATCTATGACTGGACTGTGATGATGGCTGAGTCAACAATCACGACTTTATTACAAACTACTGAACAGTGCATTCAGAATCGAGATTTCACAGCATGAAAATGACACCAGCAAAAGAGCTCTTTAAAGTGTTTAAAAAAACAGAAAGATGCCACTTGGAGGATTGAGACGTAGGGTGATCCAGACCCTGGTGTTTTTAATTGCCTCTTCTGCACAAAAAAATCAGAGCTCTGGTGGCAAAGTCTGTTTAGTGCTGTGCTGCTAAATCAAGAGGCTGCATCTCGCTGAGCTCTGGTGGTCCAGTGGGAAGCAGCTGCACTGCAATCCCAGAGGTGAGCAGTTCAAATCCACCAGACGCTGAGCTGAAGGAGGGATAATCTCCTCCTGTACCAGTTAGATCTGATTTGATGATACACATGCACAAAAATTATATCTCTATATATCTATATATGTATATATATATGTATATATGTGTGTGTGTATATATTTTTTTTTTTTTAAAGAGGCTGTGGCTCTGGTGGCCTAGTGGCAGGAAGCTGTACTGCAATCCTAGAGATGCAGGGTTCAAATCCACCAGATGCTCAGCTGGAGGACGGACAAGCTCCTCCTGTACCAGTCAGATCCGATTTGATGGTACACACACGCACACACAAAATAATAAAATAAAATAATAAAAAAAGAGGCTGCATCTAAGGTGGTTCAAATCCTTCTGGAGAAAGATGGGCAGTCTCTCTCTCTTTTTGATTCACAGCCTTGGAAACCCTGTGGAGGCTCACTGAGGGCGCTGAGTGAAAAAGCGTGCAGACAATGCATAAGGGAGACTCTGGAATTAGGCAGTTCCGCTGCCACAGTGAATTGCGCTCCTACTGCAAAGGTTAGGTGTCTCCAGGAGCTAGAAGCTATCCGCATCTCTTGCCTTTTTATTCCATTCTTGCAGCCACTGCTTTAGCCATCTTATTGATGGTCTTCCTCTCTTACTGACCCTTTACTTTTCCTGGCACGCTGTCATCCAGGAACTGATCTGTCCTGTTGGTGGTGGTGCTGTTGAGTCAATGACCCAGAGACCCTGTGAACAACAGATCTGAACTCTGTCCTGTCCTGTGCCACCTTCACACTTCCTGATATAGTAGAATCCATTGCGGCGGTCACCGTGTCAATCCACCTGGTTGATGATCTTCCTCTCCTTCAGTGACCCTTCACCCTTCCCAGCATCATGAACTTCTCCAGGGAACAGCACCTCCCAGCAACACGGCCGAAGTATGGGAGGCACAGACTCATCATTCTTGCCTCTAAAGAGCACTCCGGCCGCATCCTCCCCAAGACATATTTGTTTGTCCTCTTGGCCATCCATGGGGTGTTCTGTGCTCTTCTCCAACACCACAGCTCAAAGGCATCATTTTTTCTTCATCATCCTTAATCACTGTCTTGCTCTCAGATGCACAGCAAGTGATCAGAAAGACCATGGCCTGAAGACGCACCTTAGTTCTTCAAACAAATATTGTTACTCCTCGATAATTTGGAGAGGTCCCTAACTGCAGACTTTCCCAGTGCACCACATCTCCTGATTTCCTGTCTGCTGGTATCAAAGGTGTTAACTGTGGATCTGAGTAAGATGAAGTTGTTGACAGTTTCAATTTTTTCTCCATCTATCATGATGCTACCTATAGGTCCAGTAGTTAGAATCCTTGTTTTATTAACACTGATGCAATCCATATTGAAGGCTGTATTCTTTCATCTTCTGAAACAAGTGGTTCAAGGTCTCCTCACTTTCAGTAAGCAACATTGTGTTGTCTGCACAACACAGATTATTGATGAAATCTCCCTCCGATCCTGATGCCTCATACCTCTTCATAGAGTAATCTGGCTTCTTGAATAATTTGTTCCGCATACAGACTGAATAGGTATGGAGAAGGAATACAATGCTGATGCACTCCCTTTGGAATTTTAAACCACGTAAGTGTTCCTTTTTTTTTTTTACTGTAGTCTTCAATATGGGTTAAAGCTCAACATCAAGAAGACAAAGATTCTCACCATTGGGTCAATTGGCAACATCATGATAGATGAAAAGATTAAGGGTGTTAGCAATTATAGCATGCTCAGATCCACAATCAACACTCTTAACATCAGCAGTCAGGAAATCAAAAGATGAATTGCATTAGGAAAATCTACTGTCATGGACCTCTTCAGAGTGCGGAAGAGCAATGATGTCAGTCTAGATACAAAGGTGTGCCTAATCCAGGCCATGGTCTTCTCAATTACTTGTTATGCTTCAGAGAGTTGGACAATGACTAAGGATGACAGAAGAATAATAGATGCCTTCGAGTTGTGGTGCTGGAGAAGAGTCTTGAACATACCATGGACTGCCAAGAAAACAAATAGGTCTGTCTTGGAGAAGGTGAAGCCAAGTCTCTCTTTGGAGGCTAGGATTTTGAAGCTCTGCCTCACTTACTTTGAGCACGTGACCAGGAGAGTTTGGTCCTTGAAGAAGGACATCATGCTTGGAAGGGTGGACAGAGAGCACAGGAGAGAGAGAGATCCCAGATGAGATAGTTTGATACAGTAACTGGGGCAATGGGAGTTGGTGTGTCAGAATTAGTGAGACTGGCTCAGGACAGGGAAGGGTTCAGAGCTTCTGTACATAGAGTCGCTATACATCACAGGCAACTCAATGGCACATAACAACAATAACATGTATGACAGGTTTGAAAGCAGGAGTGGCATCCACTTTTTAAATAGCATACCTCTGGAAACTATGAACTTTTTGATAAATGTCAATAGTTGTAGAAGGGTTTCAGACCTTTTGCTCATAGGGTCACAATGAGTTGCGTTCAACCCAAAGGCAACCAACAACAACAAATGTTCCCCTGCTCGGATGGTACAACAGCCTCCTGGTCTAGGTGTAGGTTTTGCATGAGTACAATTAAGTGCTCTGGGATTCCCATTCTTCACAATGTCAGCCACAACTTGTTATGATCCACACAGTCAAATGCCTTTGTATAGTCAATAAAGCAGACATTCTTCTGGTATTCTTTACTTTCAGCCAGGATCCATCTGATATCAGCAACAGTATTCCTGGTGTCACAGCCTCTTCTAAATCCTCCTTGAGCTTCTGGCAGTTCCCCATCTGTGTACTGTTCTAGTTTTTGAATCATCTTCAGCAGTATTTTGCTTGCATGATTTTTAAAAAAATTATTATTTTTTATTATTTGTGTGTGTGTGTGTGTGTGTGTGTGTGTACTGTCAAATCAGATCTGACTGGTACAGGAGGAGATTGCCCCTCCTTCCTCGGCAGAGCATCTGGTGGATTCGAACCGTGCGTCCCTGGGATTGCAGTGCAGCTTCTTGCCACTAGGCCACCAGAGCTCCCCTGCTTGCATGATTTGAGACTAAGTTTTGTCATCTTCGCTTTTTTTGAGCATTCTAACTGTACATCTTCAAAAATGCAGTAGTAGTTTCCTGTGGGAGCGGGGAGGTGCCAATGGTCTGGCATGCCAGTCAATGTCAATGCCAGGGACGCTGCTCTGCACTCTCTACATCCTCTGTGTGTGGGATGCCCTCACCACAGAGAAGAATCTGGACACAAACATCAGCAAGGCTGAAGAAGTAGAGAAGCTGCACTCTAGAATAAGGCTGTGTGTGTGTGTGGACTGGCCAACTCCATCAGGTAGGTGACTTTGTGATTTAAGATCCAATTAAGTTATTTAACTATAGAACTCTCCTTGCCATGAGAGATGGGATCCAACAGCCCCCACAAGGTAAGCACTTTTTTCACCCCTTATTTTCCACAGGGAGACACACTGTTAATCTGAAGGCCATGCATCTTTAGCAGTTCGAATCCACCAATGGCTCAGCAGGAGAAAGACGAGGAATCTCCTATGGTGTGATTTACAGCCTCCAGGATTTACTGGACGGTCAGCTGTGAGTCAGTTCCAACCTGATGACAATGAATTTATTATACAGCCTTTCCTTTCCCTCAGTTTACA